CCCGGTTATTAAAACATATAAAAAATTTTTTTTGAAAGTTTTCAAACTTTGACCCGGCCGGGTTATGAAAACCAATTGATTAATTTTATATGGCCTTAGTATAACCTGTCACACATTCCGCGGATCACGAAAATCACGAGATCATCGAATAATGACGTGGCGTAGCAGCATTGTCGACCGAAAAACCGGTTTTTTTTTAAATTCAAAACACCGGATTTACGTAACGCTTTTGGAACATTGAAAAAATGAAATGATACCACAACACACAATTTAAAAGCTTAATATCAAAGACAATTTAAAAAACGAACTTGATCTTAGTAAATGTTGACCAGAAACATTAAAAATATTTAGACTCCAGTAAAAATTAAACAGTGACCCTTGATAATGAAAATAGGGAAACTTAAAAACCTATTAAGACTTCCGGAAATACCTATTACAGTCGGACCCCCCTAAGTGCACGTCCTATGAAACACCTCTCTAAATGCACGTCTTCTTTCGGGCCCAACTAATATTACATCTTAGATTTTAACCTCTCAAAATGTAATACCTCTTTAAGTGCAAGTTTGACCAAATTTTTACATATGGTTCCGTCGCATTGTATTTAGAGAGGTCTGACTGTATATTGTAATTTATTGAGTAAGTTAAAGTTGCTTACATGATTTTTGCTGAAAAGACTTGATAAAAATTAAAAAGAGCTATCTCTTTTATGATATCCGTGGGAAAAAGTTATAATTAGTTATTTGTTTGTTACTTTTAATTTGTTTGTTACTTTTAATTTTTGTGTTATTTAACTTCTTTAAAAGGATAATAAATTCGCGGTGTCCAATCAAGAACATACTGCGCCAAATATGGTCTTTGCAAGAAATGAAACGATACTAAAATTACTTATTTGGAAGGTTTCTTACGTATATATTTAATACGTACCAGATATCAAATGCACTTGTGAATTATAATACACGAAATGTTTACTGATTACATTCATTAATTCATTTTCCGAACATATAATGACAATTGTTTGTCACACAGCATAATAGGTATTCAAGTGTATACAAGGAAAAACAGTAATTCTTGATTGGATATTCACTCTTAAAAGTAGTACGGTGGCTTAATTGACCCTGAAGATATGGTTGCGATTGCATACTATTTACAGGAACAAATTATTCAGAGGCCGATGAAGCCATAAATCTCTAAAAGTGAAATATTTGGATTCAAGAATTACTGTTTTTTCTTCCCGATATTCATTTCATAATTAGATAGAATATATGTGAGTGTTTTAAAAATCTTATTTACGTTTTAAATTCCGAATTTAGAAAATTAAATGGGATTAAACTTTTTTGATTCTAAAGAAAAACGGGATTCTATATGGTTGGGAGAACAACACACAAAATATATGTGGTTTAGCTTTAGTCACAACTTGGACTAAAGCGATGGCATCTCGTTTCAATCAGATGAGTTAGAGTATAAATGATATAATAGTTGTAAATAAAGGAAAAGCCATTCATTATTTCTATATTACTTTTGGATGAGGGATGAGAACTTCTCTTTATTTACTGAGACTTTTTTACATTTAATAAATTGGAGGATACTTCCTAGTGTTATTATGACACTTAGCGTCATTCGACACTAACACGCATCGTTATGACACTAGTGCAATACCATAGCCGCAGCTTAAATGCATTTCATAATTTTAAGAAGCACCTGTTTAGAAGCTTCTTGCAGTCACATCAGTCTCACTCAATCTTTTACAAAGACCAAAATTATAGCAATATATCAATTATAATAGTCAGATGATGAACCTTTTAATTTTGAACACTCAAATATTTAGTATTAAAAACAAACTAAAAACTACAAATCAATCCATGTTAATAGAATCCATTTTAATCCATCGCATAAAAAGCATAGTAACAATTGATGCTGACTTTTCGGCTGTTTTTATACAAAATTTCTAAGATTATTTTTAGACATTTAGTTTTTTTTTTTAAGTATGTTTAAAATGGCTCTATGATTTATTAATTGGTAATATTTAAATATGCCAAAATTTTCAGAAATTTTAATGACAAATTTCTTTTGATGAAATATTATATATCACAGTCTTTTTGGGTCGGATGTTCTAATCGCAAGTCAAAATGCAATAATTACAATGTACTTTTCCTGGAGAATTGTCACAAGGGCAGACCGTGCGACAATCTAGAAAAAAACATAGAATATCAGAATCTATCATATATTATGAATTTCAGATTGTTAGAATATTAAATTACTTGACGTATGGATAGGAGTACTTTGATCAAACTCATTAGTAGGAGTACTTTGATCAAGATCATTAGTAGGGGTACTTTGATCAAGATCATTAGTAAGAGTGGTTTGATCAAGCTCATTAGTAGGAGTACTTTGATCAAGCTCAGCAGTAGTCGATTCGCATCTCTGGTGTTTTGAGTATTTTTTAGGATGTCTTGGGTGCCTCGGATGAGCGTTTGTTTGAATTATTATCTGAATTAGGACCAAAAAAACGAGCAAATTACGCACTTGAAATATCTTAAATATAAAATTTAGAAGTTTATATTCTCAGTCTAAATTAGCATTTACTGTAATAAAACGGTTGTATTTAAATAATTATATTTTACCATTGTATGTTTTATTACTCTGAAACTTTGAATTGTTTTTTTTTTTTTTTTGAAATTAAATTATATTATGCTTTTTTAAAAGAAATTTAATTTTTTTTATAGACATAAATTTCTTATATTTCTACAGATGGTCGTGTTTGTTAACATTATTAATTATTACCTCATAAATAAACGTTAATAATTTTATTATCAATGTACATATTAATAAATGCAAATTTAAATTTGTACTCAAAATACAAATTCAATTATAGCGAAGGTAATTTACTCTGATGAATTAATTATTTGCTTGTTAAATCATTTAAGTAAACAATAAATCTAAAAGTCGTAAATTTAAATTTTAAAATATTACGGTGCCATAACAATCTATGCAAATCCCAACTACATCACAATAAATGGCAAATACATACATACGGACCAATTGGGCTTACGAAAAACATTCGCGTTACACACACTCTGTGTGATCATTTGGATTATGCCGGCAGATAATCAGGCCGGAGGTGATGTTTTATTGAAAAGTTAGCAATTTTATACATGATAGAGAAGCGATTGATTAGCTGATATGGCCAGAACGGCGAAGACATCCCGCGACAGTAGCAACCGTGATTGCACTGGGAGTCGCCGTAGGAATAGCCGGTGGTTTCCCGCCTGCCGAAGCAAGCCGGCTGTGATTGAAGAAATAAGAGACGAAATGATAGAATTTTGTGTAGGGATGGTAAAAAAACGTTTTAAACAGTTTTTTATACATTTTTTATTGTTTTAAAAAATGTTTTAAAACATCGGTGGCTGATTTGAAATTTGGCTGGAACTGAAACTACCGCCTCTGATTGGTTAATTCAGTTTCAGTGAAAGATTTATC